AATAACCATAATAGAGGGAGCCATTGAAGAGAAAACTGACTCTAGAGAAATGTTCAGAGACTTACAAGGATGACCCCAATTAACAATCTGAGCAACAGTGGAGAGGCTACCTTAAAGGCCCTTCTCTGATAATGAGATTGATAACTACCTTATATGCCATCCGTAGAGCCCTTATCTAGTAGCTGATGGAAACAGAAGCAGACACCCAGAGTTAACCACTGAGCTGAACTTCTGGATTCCATTGCAGAGAGGGAGGAGTGATAAGAAAAGTGTTCAAGACCAGGCTTCAGAGACAGCTGACCTGAACAAGGGGGAGCTCATGGGCCCCCAGACTGATAGATGTAAAACCAGCATTGAACTGACTCAGATTCCCTTATCATGGGTCTCAGTTAGAAGGCCTGGGCAGTCTAAGGGACCTCTAACACTGAAAGCAGGATGTATCCCTGGTGCACGAAAGGACTTTGGAACACATTCCCCATGGAGAGATACTCTCTTAGTCTAGAGACAGAAGGGAGGCTTAGACCATACTCTAAAGGACTTGATAGATTTTGATGATCCCTCCTAGAAGGCATCACCTGTGGAGTGTGTGGGGGAATGGGATGGGAGGGGGGTTGTGGTGCATGGGAGGGAAGGAGAGGGAACTGGGATCGATATGTAAAATAAGAAAAAAATAATGTATATCTATGTACATATATATAACATGCATATACATAAAATATTTGTTTCATTAAAAAATAAAGTGCTGATAAAATCTATATATCCATGGATCATTTATGGTAAAAACTCATAATCTTTATTATTATGTCTGAATATACTCATTTTTATTTAGATTTATTTGTTTATGAGTGATTTGCCTGCATATTTCTGTGTACCACATACATGTCTGGTGCCTTTGGAGGTCAGAAGAGAGCATCAGATTTCCTGGAATTGGAGTTATATGGTTATATGATACCATGTAGGTGCTGTAACCTGAGTCTAGGACCTCTGGAAAAGAAGGAAGTGGTCTTAATTCCCCAGCCCTCTCTCTAACTCCTGCTTAGTATTTTAGAGGCCTCAGTTGACTTGGTTTTATTCTAATCTATGAAGTATGCGTTACTTTCAGTCAGTTTACAGAAGAGGAGACTCAGAGTGGTTATGGATCATGTCCTGTATTTCACAGCTGGTAGAACTGGGAGCCTCTATAGATGATGCTCTCAACTATCAACACCATACAGAATACTAGATGTTCATATTACAGGAAGATGTTCAGAGAAGCTGGGCTCTCTTTATCAGAGCCTGTACAGATGGAAAAATCCAAATATTTCATAGCATAAATGGTAACTTTGCAGGGCATTTGTAGAGGAAGCTGTTGGCTGTCTATACTGCATCCATTCTGCTCCCTCCCCTATCTCAAGGCAATCCTTTGTTCATGCCTCCACCCTTCTCTATGTGCCATAAGGTAGGTTTCATCATTACTGGCTCCAGAGTTTTTATTGGCCTAATCTATTATGGCGATCACATTATCTTACCAGTGACTGGTTTAGACACAGGCAGCAACAAACCATGAAACGATACAATTGTAGTTCTCTTCGAATGTTTTTCTAAGAATAATTGGATGTTCCTTCTGACTAGAGGGAGAAGAAATAGTATTTCTGTTATTTACCACTTATTGTATCAGTTTTTTTTTGCTAGATGCTTCCACAAATCATGTTTTATTCTTATGGGAAAAATGGCATGTTTTATGACACCCCTTCCCAGATGGAGCCTCTCAGATGCAAGAGCAGTTAACAAGCTCTACTTGACAAAAATCAGCATTCAAACCCAAAAATACATAGTTTCAGATATGTCAGGCTTTGTACTAGGTGTGTTCACAAAATAATACATTTTGCAGAGGCCTTTGTGAGTATATTCACTCTTCAAAACTGTGTCCAAGTGGAGCTGAGTTCTGAGTCTGAAGAGCCATGCACAGCAAGAGGCTTGGTTTGTTTGATGACCCTCTGAAATGGCCTGGATGTTACATTTATTCAGTAATTCTGGCTGGAGAATATGGCTGAGAGTTTCCTTATGGCTAATGCCTTCCTGTTACATTTGAATCATTTGGAGATTTTGATTTAAGTCGGTGACAGACACCACAGAGAACTCCAAGTGATTGTTATTTAGCTCAATGTAAGCAACTGACTTCCTTTCTTTCTTGGCTGAATTTGCTGACTGGTATAAGCCAAGACTTATTTCCTTTAGGAAAAGCTATATAAATACTCACCAACAGAGATAAAATGCCATCAATTACCCAGACGAGAAATAGGTTTTCATCTTGAAAACACTGTTAGCTCTGATACTGTCATTTTTACATACAATAATTATTTTAAACATTTAAAGTCAGGCATCCTTTTTCTGATTATAAAGCTTTCCATTGTTGACACCTCATCTATCCCCACCCTCAGGCAAAGTCTTGCTATAAAGCCCAAACTGGTCTTGAACTTGTAACTCTCCTCCTCAGTGTCTCCACCTCTGTGTTTATAGGTATGTACCCTTATGTCTGGCTTTCGCCGATCTTATATTTATTTTCATCATGGCTCCCAGAAAGATAATAGGTGTGGGCTTTGAAGTGGAAACTATAATTGGAAACTATAATATACAAGCAGAAGGCAATAATATACAAGTAAGATAAAGAGTGCTCAAACAAACAATATGAGACAAAAATGTTGAGTGTCTCTCTCTCTCTCTCTCTACTCTCTCAGGTAGGGTGTGTGTGTGTGTGTGTGTGTGTGTGTGTGTGTGTGTGTGTGTGTGTGTGTGTGTGTTGGGTATCTCATTGTTGGGCACGGGCATGGGCCTATGGACCTACCCTTAAGTGTGGTTTATACACCCAGTGAGAAAAGTACTTGGAGAAAGAATTTTTCTTTGCAAGCTGTTATTGATAGCTTATTGGTTAGGGATGAGAGCTTCTGTCTGCTTCCCCTTCTCAGCACTGGGACTCATCTGGCTTGAGCTTGTTCAGGACCTATGCATGCTGCCATAGTCTCTATGAGTTCCTATAGACCTTTATTTCTTTTCTCTGGTTTATCTACTTAACATCTTGAGTATCTACTTTATTTGAAGGCACTGAAAATATAAGGCAGTCTTTGCCCTAGAGCTCTTATAGTTCAAGGAAAAGATGCATTAGAAATACTCTGATTATAATTATGTTTAAAATATATTTATGTTTAAAACATAAAACAGTAATAGTTATGTCTGAGTGCTATTAAATGATATAAGATACATGAGATCAAAAAGGGAAGTATGATTTATATTGGCCAGTGTCTACTGAGATTTAAAAAAGAGAGATGCTAGCTGTGAGTTTACTCTTTTGTTGACTCTTCTGTTTATTTTTTGTAGCACTGGGATTAAACCAAAGGCCTTGAACATTCTAGGCAGATAGTGTACCACTGAACTTCATCCATAGTCCCTTAGCTGGGATTTTGTAATATGAAGGCATTAATTGAGCAAATGTCAGTGGGGAAGAGCATTTGAGGGGAAAGATGCAACAGCAGGTTTAGGGAATCCAAGTCAGGAAGGCATGGATCATCTTCTTTCTAAAATGAACATTGTGGTACAGATGAACTGGATAGTGGCATGAGAAAGGGCTGAGGAGAAAGCAAGGGAAGGTATTTCAGGGCATGCCAACATTTCAGATTTTGTTCCAGAGAGCATGGGTGACAAACAGAAGAATGAATTGCTATGTGGAAGACAACTAATGGAAGGCATGTGTAAAACAGACCTGATAACAGACTTTTGTAGTGATCTAGGGAAGGAATGACAGCTTGGTCAGAGTGATGACACCAGAGCTGACAATAGGTGTGTAGTGAGATAGTCCTTCTGTGGCACTGACCACGCCCATTGGCGGAAGTGACCTGTGGTGGAAGGTCAGAGAGGGAGCCATGAAAAGCTCTCTTGCTGGAGGGACTGGGACAGGAGAGCATTGGGTGGAATTTCCTGGTATTTATCTGTCTAGGTTGTAAGTTATTTCTCCCTGAATAAACATCTATTCGGCCTACTTGTTTATCCTGATCCTTATTTAACTGCGATATCTGGTGTCAGAAGTGGGATTAGGATTTTCACGAGACCTGGGTTTTACCCAGGCTGCAGACTCCGCTCCCCTCTCCCACCTTCCCCAATGGGCGTGGTCAGTGCCACAGAAAGACTATCTCACTACATATGTGGGCATATTTGAGACCTATTTCATAGAAGATATGGATTGTTGATGGATGCAAAAGGTGGGCATGAGAGGATATAAAAGGTGGACATGAGAGGTAGGAAGAATCCATCCCAATATATTGAAAGTATGACTAGGCACACAGAAGTACCACCACCAAGAATAGAAAAAGCAGAGTGAAGAGGAAACATTAAGGCTCCAGTTTGTGACAAGTAAAATTTGAGATGCCTGCAGGATATTCAAGAGCAGATGTCATACAGGAAGACACTCTGTTGGGAATTCTGGACAAATAGAGGCTATTTGAACAGTTATTGGCTTTCTTCTTCTCTTTTTAATGTCAGGATGGCCTTGTACTTGTTTTATTTGGCTCTTCTCTTTAGAGTATTTGGGCTGTGGCACTGGTTACAGTTTTCAGCCTCCTATTTCAATTGTCTGAATTGTGCCTTATTTTGCAAACTTCTTTTTAATTACACTGTAAAGACATAGCATTTCAACAAAAAGAAGAAATTTTGACTACTTGTGTGCCTTAGCCCAGTCACATGGCAACTCTTGCTATTACTCCCTTAAATACGTAAGAAGCACTGGTTGTTTTCAGTTTTGAAAAATTATCATACTATAACCTGACAGTTATTAGTTAAGGTATGTCTAAATTTTAAATCAACAAAGGTCTTATTGCTCAACACTCATCACTGGGGACTTAGCAATGTTCTGAGTTAGATTTTAAGGGATGTTGTGAGAACTACATCAGAACCATCTATTCATGGTTAAAACAAAACAAAACACTATTCATTGTTAGTCCCAGATATTCTTGCTACAATTTAGAAAAATTTCTTCCATATTTAGAGATATTTCAGGATAGTTTATGGGACAGAAGTTGAATTTTGACTTTTATCCACTGGAATAAAATCACATTTAAATTGAAAACAAACATGCCTCACTGAACATTATTGTAGGAATGTACAGTTTTCAAGCAAATACACAGGTGATCTATGTGTCATGGATCCTGGTACATTATAGGTTAGAAGGCACAACTAACCTAATGTTCTTATAGTTTTCAAAGGAAAGCTATAAAAAGTATCAGCATTACCAGCAGTCTTTCCATACCTCAGTGACAGCAAAGCTTCTCTTTCCGCAGGGAACCACCTTGTACCACTTGTCATGTAGCACATCCATAAACCCGTGAGATTTATATTGACTGATGAGCTCAGATATGTTAGAGGTCAATGGAGAGTTGGGAGGGAGACCAATGCCATATCCTAGAAGAAAATGCAATCTCACATGAGTTCTTTATACTTTTTCTAAGAGGTGGCCACCATACTTCTGTAATATTGCCACAGGATCTGGTAATAAGGGTATGGTGAACCTGTATTACATTTCCATCTTAGGGCTCCAGGATATACTTAGAGCTGCATCTCTGAGAAGACGCAATTAGTCTGAGTCTGAAAAGTAGAGATGTTCAGGTTATATTTGTAAAATATCATATGACCTCTTCCTTTTTCTTCCCAGTGCTTTTAGAGGCAATGTTTGAGGTGTTTACCAGGTCTGGGATTTCCTAGCCATCTTTCCCAATAAAATTTCATGTGATGGTTAATCTTAATTGTCAGTTTGGTTGGATTGAGAAGTGACTAGAAGGTTAGGAAAGTACACCACTGGGTATGTTTGGGAAGGCATTATTAGAGCAAAATAACTGAGGAAAAAGTTATCTATTTCAGTTCAGTCTCAGAGTTTTCACTCCATTAACATGGAGAAGAATTAGAAGAGGAGTTTACATTGACATCCAGGAAACAGAAGGGCATACAAGAGAGGGAGAAGGTAAAATGTAGCCTTCATAGATATAACTCCAAACAATATTGTCATATTATGAATTCATCAAGGGATTATCCATTGATTAGGTCAGAGCCCCCAGGAGTCATTCACTTCTCCAAAGCCCATCAATTGGGGAATCAAACCCTTAACATAAGAACTGATAGAAGACATATATTCAAACCATAATACCAAATGAACAAATAATACACCATGAGAGGTTAAAGATTACAAGGACTAACAATGACTAACTTTAATTGTCAAACAAGCAGTAATGACAAATATTAGAGAAGATATGGAAAGAATGCACATTGATGTAGTTACTTTGGAAAACAATTTGGTAATCTTTCATGTAGTTAAACATGTATATTAACACCTAAGAACATTTCTAAACAACTTCCCCACACAAGTACACCAGGAGATATGGTTAAGAATACTGTTTCATAACCACAAAACTTGAAAAGAACCCTGATGCTCTTCAACAAAACCATGAGAAAATAAATTGAATATTTTAATGATTGGAACATTACATAACTGAGATATATGAGTTAGAAATGGATAGATTTGTATGCATACCTCTTAGCAATATTCTATTGGGGAAAATGCCATTCTTCTGAAACCTGCAGTATGAATTTATTTTTTCATGTAAAAAGATACATTAATATATGTTTTAAGAATGCATATGGGTGGATAGAACATTAAAACAAATCAAGGATATAATTTTGAGATCCAAGATGACAGTTATTCAAAGCATGGGGAAGCAGGAAAGGGGATAGACAAAGAGAACAAAGTTGGGTGTATTATCAGAGTTTTAGTAATCATCCTAGACAGTGTATTCTTACACTGTCTGACTCCATGGCTTTCCTAACTGTTAACACACTGCTAATCACTTTGAGGAACCATGTGAAAGAGGCTAATTAACTACATCTTGTTTTGGTTATTAGATCTCACAGTCAAAAAGAAAGAAAGATTTTTCTTTTTGCCTTCGAGATGATTGAGGAAGACAAATTAAAAATGCAGTTAGTTCCCTTTTCATAGATTAAAGACTAAAAGGCTGTCAAAGATTCATACTTAATGAGTCAAATACCTGCTCTGATTATTCACTTTACAACTCAATTCCAAAGTTGCTAGTTTTTGTCTTTTTCTTAATGCAGATATACAATTCATTTGAAGAATATGAGACCAGTGATGTGTAATAGAAATATGTAGTACTAAACAGCTCTTGAGTTTTAAAGCATTGCATGTTTTTTTTTTTGTGGCAATTCTGTTTGTTTCTTAAGAATGCAGCATCTAGAAAATAATGACAATGTCAAAAGTGTAATGTAAACTTTTCTGTTCAAATAGATACTAAACAGGTCTTCTTTGTGACTGGTGGTTTTGAATTAAAAGGCAAGACTGACAGGAATAGAAGTTGAATGAGTCACTGGTGTTTTAATTAAGTTACATTTTGTATAGTTGTGACTATGCTATTTTGAAGATTAAAAAAACTGTGCATTATGAATATCTCTCTGTGTGTAAGTACACCATGTGTATATCGGGTGCCCAAAGAAGACAGAAGAGGGCACCAGATACCCTGGATCTGTAGATACTAGTGGTGTGTGAACTACCTGATGTCCTCTGCAAGAGCAGCAAGTGCTTCCAACAGCTGAGTCACCCTCCAGCCCACAGGTAAATTTCTAAGGAAGTTTTCATTTTCTTTAAAAAATGTTTTGAATGTTACTGGTAATTCAGTTTCCCAAACATATTTTCAGTATATATTACCATGTTGGGTGCTATACAAGGCCTATGTATAATAATATTCATTAATCTATTGACTCTCAACCATCCATCTGTTCATTTATCAAATACTTTATTGAGAAAATATCTACAAAGTAAAATGGTCCATGCATGTTTGTGGGGAGACATATTAAACAGTTAACTACTTTAAGTAGTTTCTTTACAATTGAGACAAGCAATGGGAGGGAGGAGAAAAAGATGGATATTGAAAACATAGTGGGAAAGGATTTGGAATTATGTGATTGAAATAGGTTGACATATAGGATATCCTGCTTGGGTTAACTGCTGAATACTAATGCATTTTCCCCACTGGAGCAATAGCTTCCAACAACAAATTTAGCAAGGACTTTTTACATTGTTATCAGGCACTGTTCTTTAATAGTAGCACATTTTAAGCTACTATTTACTATTTATCCATAGTGTAAATTATGCATTAGACATAAAGTTTGACTATTTTGTGACACACAGTTCAGTCAGATCACCCTAGGATTCTAACATAAAGTTTAGGATATACCAAGTTTGTCTATGTGTCATATATAGTCTTCATGTATGGACCCATTACAGAGTATTACCTAAAGAGATTTGAAACTTGAATGATTAAACTGCCAAAATCCCAGTCAGTAGCCAACAAAACTAATGTTTGAAAGTAGATCTGCTAGATTGTAAAAATCCATGTTCATTCCACTATATTCAATACAAGCCAAGGGAACACTTGGCCTATTTCCTTCAATTCAGTGTGGACCTAATCTATGTAACTGAGTGGATGCCATCCTTCCCCAATTAGGTAATTAATTTATTAAGAAACTAGTCTTGGAGCTGAAGAAGTGGCTCAGCTGTTAAGGGCACTCATTGCTCTTCCAGGGGGCCCGAGTTTCTCAGCACCTATATCGGGAGGCTCACAACAGTTTGTAATTTCAGCTCTAGGGGATCAATGCCCCCCTCTGTCCTCTGTGGGTTCCCCTCTTTATGCATCAGATACTCACAAAGACACACATACACAAATAAATGAAAAAAAACCCACTCTTCAAAAGTAAGTTTTCATTAGCCAAAAATATTGTTCATAGACAGATTTTGTTTATAAACATAGCAATACATTTTGAAGTGAATATAAGAATAGCCCTAATGTATGTCAGAAAACCAAGTAGGAAGGGCCCCTCACTAATTAGAAAAATCATAAAGATTCCCCTTAAAGCTAATAATTTCAATCCATGTCAGTGTAATAATGGCAGGGTATCTTTCAATTTTTATTTGGAAAATACTGATTTTGCACATATTTATTTGCTCATGAGTCCCACAAAATATGTATAATGTTATGGAGGTGTCTGAGTTAAGTTGGATACAGAGTCTATCTGTGGGAGGTTAGGGTGGCATGTGGAGCTGAGGTATATGCGGTGGTGTACAGCACAGTCGAAAGGTATACGACTTTTCTTGGGAAAAAAGATAGGTGAGGCATAAACTCAATACAGGTAATACATAACAACCAAGGCACAATGGAGAGAGTGAGGACATTCTGTGGATGAGAAATTGCTACTGAATAAAAGGAAGACAAGGGCATCCTAGATTGATTTTTGATAGTGTCCTTCTTTAAAGTAGGGGAGACCGAAATACATAAAAAAGTTTGAAAAGTGACTTACAATCAACCCTACATATGCTAAGGATATAATTTGGTACTATGACACAAGCAGTAAGAGTCCCCAAGGGAAAGCTATGTTGAAGTTACAAAGACATTTATAAAAAATGGCTACCTAGGAAATAATGAATATTAAATCATTCTACTCCATCATGCCTAGACTAATTTGTAATGAACTGCTAAAAATAGATAGATATCCTTTTAATTTACAACATACCTTGAACATTGATGTTTCAATGATTTCTAGCGTTAATAGTAATTATTAACTAGTTAAAACAAGAGAAGAATAGGAAAAAAGTTATGTGTCTGTGAGAGGGGAATTTACTGCTAGACATAAAAATCCATTTTACTCAGAAACATAAAAATGGTAAAAGTTTTAAAGTTTCATTTCTATCCTTTTGTTTTATCAGTTACTTTTCAAAGTTGATTGTATTCATTGGTCAAAGAAATCTTATTTTTAAATTGCTGACATGACATTAGTCAGAGTTGCCTAAATTATCATTAGAAACTCGGTTTTGCAGTACACACAGGCTTGTCTTGTGGTTGATGGATGAAGCGAAATGGAACCCTTCAACCCTAAAGATGAAGGCATCAGGCACCCTGGAAATTGGATACAATTTAATAGCTCAAGAAAATGATTTCCTAAATAGAATCCTGATCTTTCCTCCATGGATAAGTCAGTTTTTTAGAAACGTACTTTGACTAGCAAATGTACAGTTATAAATTCACAGCTAAAAAGTGTCTTCCAAATGTGTGGCTGGAAAATAGATATTTTGAAAACAAGAACTCAAACATTAATACAGTTTTTTTTTTTTTTTTTTAGAAAAAAGCCATAAGTACAAAGAATCATTTGATTCTGCATATGTTTAGTTACTCTGAGATAGTGGTTGAGAGCGTATTATCAAAGTCCCAATTTGAAAGAGGTATTTAAAAATGGGTTTCACTTGCTTCTAGAACATCAAGTTGGGAAAAGAAGTGTCTTGCATGAGATGAGCTGAGATCTATGAAGGATATATTGGGCGAATTTTTGTCATGCATAATTTTCAACTTAATCAGTACATTGACTATTAATAACTTATTGAGGACATCTTCTGTGTTTCTACATGTTTTACATCATTATTTTACTTAAGTTTTATAACAACCTTGTTCTAGGTGTTTATTTCATATCTTCGTTATGCAGATGAGGAGCTGGAAGGACAGATTAAGATATTTGCCAGTGAGTGACAGCAATTTTATTTTAATCCAGACTCTGGAGTCAGTGCTCTAAGCACTGCATTAAATAATTATTGGAAAGCCAGTAAAATAACAGCTCAGAAACAGGCAAGGCCCTTTGCTGAAAGGTCACAGATCATTATTGTGCAGTTACATTACTCTTTCTCTCTGCTTGACCTTTATTGTCTGCTAACACCAATGCATAAATTTGGGGCATGTGTTCATTTATCTTAACACTTTCCCTTTTATTCTCAAGAACATAATATGTCTTTGTGCCTTTGCTGCACAGCATTTCTTCTGACCAAACTCTTTCTGCATGTCCTTGAACTGATAATAGACTTTTTAAAAAATATATTTTTATTTATCCTTTGAAAATTTCATATATGTATATAGTATATCTTGTTCATATCCACCCCCACTTCCCCTTTCCAACACCCTCAGGCTTCTTCAACACATTTCTCTCCCAACTTCATCCCCATATTTTTCTTAATAATTCAGAGTTCATTTAATACTGTCTGTACATACAGGGTTATGGTGCCATTCACTGGGGCAAGGTCCCACCCATAAAGGAAAGTGACTCTCCCCCAAACTTCAGTAACAGTCAGTAGCCAACAGCTTTTCCATAGGGAGTGGGGCTTTGAGAGTTCCTCCCCTATCCATACTGGAATGTTGACTGGATCAGTTTTGTACAGGAAACCTTCGCTACATTGAATTATTACGTGCTATAGCAATGTCATGTCTATAGGATATTTCACAGTACTCTTCAGCACTCTCTGACTCTTAGCACTTTTGTAGCAAAATAATTTGACCCACGAAAGGACTTCAGATTCACTCGTCTCTCCCACCTTTGTGTGTAACTTATAAATAACACCCCTTTGTAATGTTTGTGCTATGGTTTGAATCTAAAATATTCCTGGAGAGTTTTTGTGTTGAAAGTTTGGCTCTCAATGAAGCATTATTCAGAGGTCAGGCACTTGGGAGGTGATTGGAGTGTGAAGGCTATGATTCACTGAGTGGCTGGTTTGTTCCTCTGTTGGAGGAAGGAGGTCATTTTCTATATTCTTTTAAGGGTCTATTTTATACCCTGATGTGCCCTTTCCTCTTTTGATCTCTTTTTCATAGTCACCAGGAAGTGAGCAGGCTTGTTCTACCATGTTCTCTTTGCCATAATGTTCTGCCTCAACACAGACCCAGGAACAACATCCAAGCAACTATTCACTAAACTCTTGCAACTGTGAGTCCCCAAAATCATTTCAAATAGCTTGTTACAGTGATAGAGAGCTGACTGACATATTTTGAGTTTGGGTTGTGAACACATGGGGGCAGTATTTACTAACTTTTTTTCATTTGCATTCCTGCTGTTATAACAAAATGCCAGAAAAAGAAAGCAAATTAAGGAGGAAAGAGTTGATGTTGGCTCATAGTTTGAGGGCACAGTCCGTCATGATTAGAAAGTCATGGCAGCAGGAATTTAAAGGAGTCTAGGAATCATGTAGGTATTGCCTACATTCTGGGTGGGTCTTTCAATTTCAATTAAGTCAGTCTAGACAATCCCTTACAAACATGCCTAGAGACTCATCTTCTAGGTGATTCTAGGTCTTTAAGTTGACAGTAGGTATTGAGCATCACACATCTTATTCAATTCAAAGAACAGTGATGGTCATGCTTGTCTTCTCATACCTTTGTTCTTTGAGTGTGCCATTTTGTATTTATTCTTTTTGAGAACAAAGCAGTGTCTCCAATGATAGGAATTACAAGATACTTAGTCTCAGGAGCATGAGCACAGATGGAAATGTAAACAGGAAACCAGTGGGGAGTTAATTGTGTGGCATCTGGCACTGAGGTCCAGCAGAGGCAAACAAGCCATCTTACCACTACTCTTTGACATGATGGGGTTGCTCCCTGGAGACAAAGGTGGAAAATAGAGCCCTTTATTATTATGTCCTCTACAGATGATTTGTTGTTAGCAACCACTGATGGTAGAAGGGACCTCAATTACCCCACACATCCAGTACATAAATAAAAAGTCTCTCTGTGTCCCCAGATGCTACAAAATGGATTTTTCCATTGTTACATTAAATAGGCTTTTGAGTTTTATAGGTTTTTTTCTCTTTCTCCCTCTCATACACATCACACACACACACACCAAAAAAAAAAAAAAAAAAAAAAAAAAACAAAACAAACAAAAAAAAAAAACCAAAAAAACCCACACACATTTCATATTCTAGTCTTAACAGAACAATGCTACTACCAACTATCTCTCATCCTGACTTCATCACTGTCATCTTGTCTGGAGAGGAGACTTATAACTCCCACAAAAAGGCTTGAAAAAAATGAGAGTATTTGCTTAATTCCCATTCATTAAAAACACAAAGCCTGAATAAAAAAAAAATCCACTGATACGTTTAGAGGAGATAGAGATCAACTACAGTTGTGAGACTGAAACCATAATAGCCTTACAGCCCTGCTAACATACACAAAGCACAACATCAAACAAGCACAGATTTCTGAAAGCAAACTTTGGTATACCATGAAATTGTTTTAAACAAAAATGTTTTCTGACAAATGTGTATGAGCACCAGATTGTATTGTCAGAGAGCGGAAGCCTGGAAATGGAAGGCATGGAATTTGCTTTGCTGGTTCAGACTAAGTAGTCCACATATCAACTGCTGTTCAAAATGAGAAAAAATACTGTCAAAGCAATGCTTCTTTGGTACTGAAGTTTGATTGATGGGATTATCTATTTGGAAGCAAAACTTATTGCAGTGGGGGAAAAACAATCCTGGGGCTCAAACAAGGTTTAAGGCCCCAAGGGATACTAAATTTCAGAATTGGGGGTTTTATATTTATTTCCAGACAGGCAGATAGCATTCTTTGGGAAATACAAGATTTGGATTATGATTCTACTATTGTCACCTAATTTATGAATTATGAAAATATGATATAATATTAGTTCTTGGTCTTTTTTTGTACAAAAATGAGTAGACTAAATTTCATCAACATTGGGACTTCCTCACAGGCTTGCATTGTCACAGCAAACACAGATTTCTAGAAATATATCTTTGTCACCTCAATGAGATTATTTCAAGCTCAAACTCACAGGAGAACATGGATAAGTCTCCTCAAAAATTTAAGCTGAAGCTATCTTCAGATACCTATGAGATTCATCATCAAGTCCACATGGTTGACACTGTCTGGAGTATACCGAAGATACACAGAATCCCATCATATTTCTAGTTTTTTTTTAAAATCAGATTCATTATGGCATGATCCTTCAAAAATATTCATTATATAGAGGCTGGGACAGTTACCTAATAACTACAAAGTTACATAGTAACTACAAAGCCTAAGATTTGATAATTAACCACCACAGAAAACAAAACAAAACACAAACACAAATGCCCATTAAATAGTGTTAGAATCCTTATGATTATCACTCTCTGAAACCTGAACTGACATCATCAATTATTATTTTTTGCTCTAACAATTTTACAAATAAAATTTTGTTGAGTTGGTAAAAAAAATAAATCTCTAATGTCAACAAGCTTAGTAGCTGAGTGCTTATGAGTTGAAAATGAAAACAAGGAACAATGAATGACTCTCTGTTTCTGTCACCTGTTACATGCTAGGTTTGCAAACAGCACATCTTGGGAAAAAGTGAACTAAGAATGATTAATACCTTCAATGGCAAATGGCTTCCCTACAGTCAGAAGCTTGCAGTCAGCATCAATTGACACTTCATAATCCAAAAGGGCTTTGTCCATGATGAAGGCATCTAGTTTCTCTGGATCATTCCTATATTTAAAATCAAAGGGAAGAGAAATGAAAGCGGTTCATTACTGAGTGGTAAGGACCAGCCTGACAGATAGCATTGGTTTGGGGATAGAAACTTGGATACCAAGGGCAGCACAAACTTGCCAGCTGCTGGCACTTGTTTGGCATCCGATTCACTGGTAGAATAGATATCAGAGGAATAGGCATTCTTTTTAGAGCATGCAAAATCTTTCTCATAAGTTTATCTACCAATCTCATTCCTAACTGTCAAGCCCAACACCAAAGCCAGATATAACTACTAATTGAATTGGAAGGCACACAGGGAAGGCTGATTTCTATTATTTATCAAGGTTAAGTACTGCACTCAGTATTTTAATACATTTAATTTTTCATCCGGACTGTGAAACAAATAATGATGGCAATGAGGCTCAGAGATTTGAAGTATTTTGATATAGGCCACACCTGGGTAAGTGTGGGAGACAAGTGTTCTTGGGAATTAGATGTTGAAACTTTTATTTCTTCCTCTCACAATCATCATTTTATTATTCAGAAACTGACTATAATTTTGTATTTAGGAATAGATATCAAGGAAATACATAGAAAATATATAGTGTTCTTAGAGAAAATAAATTTGTGGTATCTCTAAGTCCATAGTATACCATCCAATAAATTGAAAAGGTGAAGCTTACATAACAGATTTTAGTGGACCAATTTAATACTCTGTCTCCAGAGAGTCACATTTCTTCCCACTGCATAGGTAGTTTAGAATAATTTAAGTTAGGTCCACTAGGCTTATACTAGTTAATTGTCAATGGGCTGAAATTGCCATAAAGTGTCTTGGGTGTCCTTTATGAGAATTCTCTATTATTTTGAACATGGGTGTAGACATGACCTAGTGGAAAGCTATATTTTATCACAGGCTGGACAACCCTTACAGGAAATGCAGCGTTTGGAAGGGAAGCCAGCTAAGAAACTTCTTTGTTTTTAGTCATCCCAAATCTCTTTTATTAAAGTATACAATTTATGCACTTAAGACTTTTCTTCTCTTTTAACTAGTGTAGATTAATTATAAAGAACAATGGGCTTCATTGTGAATTTTTCCTCCACCCTTTCTTCCCACCATCCCTCTTTCTTAACCTCCTTACCTCCCTTTATTTCTTCCTTCACTCCCTCCCTCCAGGATTTCCCCCTCTCTTTCAAAGTCTCACCACATATTCTGGGATGATTTCAAACACACACACACTTTTACATTCATCTCATGATAAGAAGGGTTCAGAGTTGAGACACCACTCTCACTCATTTTGATATTTTCATGTATGAATGTAATAGTTTGATCATATCCTCTCTCTCTTGTCCTTCCCTCTTCTCTCACCAATCTACTTTTCTTCAATAGCTTCTCATTACTAATGACAACCCCCTTACTACTCATTTCCCCCTTAAATACTTTCCTTTTAATAACAAAGACATTTCTACCATTAGAATTGTCTAAATAGTTTTGCAAGACAGCACCTCTCAATTTAATATAGTGTCAGTCTTTCCACTCCTAAAACCAGAGTGAGGCTGTATAGATACAGCACAGAGAAGTAGTTTATGATCTCAGGAGAGTAAGTTGAGGGCTCATTAACAAATTGGATGGGAAGGGTATCCATAGACACAGGTGAGATTCACCACCAGGCAAGAAATTGCTAAGGTTGCCTGGACTGCACATAGACACATAATAAATGATCCTCTTTTTGGCATAAGTTGCCTCTGAATTATTTTCCCATTCTTCCAGCAAGTGAAACAGATGCTACAGAATGCATCTATTTTTCCAGGAATATTTTACTTAAGTTACAATAACTTGTTTAACATCAACTAAAGTAAAAACATGACACAGATCCCTAGCAAGAGGAAGTCTGGGGAGCATGAATTACTTCCCAGGAATTGGTGACGAGGCATCTTAATGGAATCTAGGTAATAAAGTCAAATTCTAGTCTGATGTCATTGCCACAGCAAGAGAATGCCCCATTGGAAAGGGCTACACAGTAACACGCCAATAATTCATACATGTCTATGCTAAAAACAGGACAAATAGAAAAAAATTTCCCTTGAGGTTCATATACATTTTTTGAAACCAGTAATTCCTGATCCCCTGTGTCACTGATACCCTTGTATAAGTACTTATGGTTTAGAATTGCATAGTGAGTTTAGTTGGCCTTGATTGATTTCTGTGCCATAAAAAGGACAGAAGCAATGAACTCATAGACTTCCGTGGGACCTGAATCACTGAGGAGGATGTGTACTGTTATGAGCCAGTCATGAGTAGTTCTAGGCTGGCTGAACCATTGTTGTAGTTGGCAGAGCTTTTAGCTTACTCTATTGTAGAATAATGTCTTAGAGGCATTCATTTAAAAGTATGTTTTACATACTACAAAATCAGTCATGTACTAACATGATAAAATAAATGAGCATCTAATGTAGAGGACTCTGAGTGTTGTAGGTCAGAGCTCTAGAGGGCTGGGGATATGATATAGCATGAGAACTATGGTTGTTTGGAGTGTTACCTAAGAGTATTCACTGAGGCTAGGTCAAAAGTGGTGACAGGCCCAGAAAGAAATAAGGAGACACTGATGATAAGCTATGCTCATATTACTATTTATGTCAATCAAATGAGTCACCTGGGAAGTTTGTAAAACTGTGGTGGGTTTGGGATGGGTCTCAAACTGTATTTCTGTCTGGCTCCCTCATACCAACTATAAAATGGGTGTGGTTGGCCATGGGTTATACTTAAATCATCAAAGACTCTTCCATCACAGCTTCTGGACTAGCACAAAGCTATAATCTCAGTTTTGTATGGCTTCTGCCACCTGTTATCAATATCACTTTAGGAAATGTCCTACCTTTGTGACACTGGGCATTAGATGAAGGCCTTCTCAGGTAGAGCCACTGGAAAATAAAAGCTCTGAGTGCAGGGGAGCTGCTGGGTACCCAGAAAAGTTTCACCTTATTCTGCCATGCTATTTTACAACTACTTCCAGCTAAGGGCCCTTGCTATCTGTCTGACATTCCATCCTTTCTCTCACACCTGTGCAACTGTCTGGAGAGAAAACAGAAGGGAGTCTGGGAGGCAATGGAGCTCTAAAGTGTGTTAGATAGGGACTCTAATGTTTTGATGTTCTTGCAAAATTAAGTGTCACTTAAACTTCATAAATAATTTTGTGAACCTAAGAGCACACAGCTTCCTGCCTCTCTGAGTCTAGTTTAAAAAAATCCATAAAATTGACATAGGGCCTATTACTAGATCTCTCGAGGAACACAAAGCACTTATGTCCTGTGAAAGTCTTTCTTTACTTTCTTTCCTTTTAGAAAAATGAATTGAGCCTACTTACTGTTCACTGGTGAAATTCTAACATTAAGATGGAGAAACCTGTTTACTGGTGATGGACCAAGGTTGGGAATTAGGAGGTTGGATACAAATTCTTGTCTTAATGCCATCAGGCAGCAGAGAGAGGACAGGTACCTCTTGCAGAAGTTTAAAGCCATTCAGTCCCTTATTTCAGACAGCCCAGACCAGCTGACACATCACTGCATGGCTTGGCATTTGACTCTACTGAATTACAGGCTCTGATAATCTGTCATGGCAACATGATTGCCTTTGATTGCTTCTCATAAATTCTGATGAGAAGAATTCAGGCATAGGAGTCACTGCCTTCTATCTTATTTCTTTCCCACAGGAAATCTCTGAGATAAATTTCCATTTCCTTGCGGCAAAATGAGACATTCCACAGGCTTAGGGATTCACTTTGAAGGGAAAGGTTGCTTAGGGACACTATATCCTTTGGTCACATTTCTTATGTGTTTAATCATCTCAGCATTGTTGTTTAAGCCAACATTTCCTTCCTTTGTCATCCACTCAACTAATGACCCTACTGGCTCTGAAATTAAAGGTATTGTAAACTGTAGACTGTGTAGGTAACTGGTAATCTTGGTCATTTAATTTCCTGCACAGTATTCTATATTGTCTTTTGGTTTTTCACAATGTATGAGTTATTTGTTTGTGTGTTTATGTGTATTTGGTTATATGTTCATGTGTGTGTGTGTGCATTTGGTTATATGTTCATGTGTGTGTTTGTGTGTGTGTGTGTGTGTGTGTGTGTGTGTGCTTAGTCTAGAAGAAGCTGACATGTGGTGTCTTTCTCAATTATGCTCTATTTTTTGAGACACGGTCTCTCAGTGAACCTGGAGTTCTTTGACTTGGCTGATCAAAAAGACGCTGGAATCCTCTTGCCTTCATTTGCCCATCACTGGGAGTATTTGTCTGTGCCTTGAGTCTTACACAGGTGCTGGGGATCCAAATCCAATTCTACATGTTTGTATAGCACACATTTTATTGACTGAGCCACCTGTACAGACCCTGAATACAACATTAGGGATTTTCATCTTATTGAAGAAGGGAAAAAAGAATGAAAGAAAAAAAAAAAAAAGGCAAAGCCCAAATGATTTCTCTTTCATTGGAACTTTTAGGATCCAACAACTGATACTCACTTCAGATACTGCACTCCATCAGGGGTGGCTGGCACATTATACCGTCTCATGTACTCATGCATCTCTGGGAAGCTCTGACGCACATAGTCTTCAGCACTGCTTTCCCGGACAGTTCCAAAACGGAAGCCTTGAGAAGGATGATGAAGCTATGGGGAGAAAAAGAAATTTTTCTAATATGCAGTAATCATTTAATTACTTGTTTAAAACCTTTTACAATTATGTTTCAAAGTTCAATAATTAAGCACATTTTAAATACCTAAAAGCACTGACATGAAAACAAAGTGTGCAGACACAGACAGGGGGTAGGTATATCTGCAAAAGGAGATAGGAATGGCAAGCCAAATATATCAAACAGTCATTTTGCTTCATATTGAGAACTTAGTACATTTTTCAAAAATGTTAATACACTTACATATGGTGTGTGTGTGTGTGTGTGTGTGTGTGTGTGTGTTGTGGGAGGAGTTGGGGGGCACATAGGCCATGATGTACATGTGGAGATCAGGAGACAACTTGTAGGAGTCACATGTCTCCTTTTACTATGTTGGTCTTGGGAATTAAACTCAGTTCACCATGCATGGTGGTAATTATCTTTACTTTGGTCATCTTGTTGGCTCCCTAGTAGATAGGATTCTCTAGGCAATGTCTAAATAGACACATAGAATCAGCATCATATTGAGAATTGAATATTAAAATATATCTTTGTGATTATAACCCTCAGTAGTTAGAAGTATACAAAGGCTAAGTTAAAAGTATCCTGGGGTGATATTATGCCTTGCTCAATGCTGTGAATACTTTCATTTTATGTTACTAGTATTGATGCTGTATTCCATGTTAAATGTATTGAATTTACTATTGGTTTTGTTAAGAATTATTTTTTTCTCCTTTAAGTAGTTGCAGTACCCAGTGCTGAGTCATGCTGTCCATGTTCTCAAATGGAACTTTGCCTTAGACAGGCACAAGGGAGGAGGGGATAGAAGGATCAGAGCCAGGAATGCCCTAGGTCTCCAGGATTCAAGACCTCACAGGGAAGAGGCAGTGCACCGAGACCCCTGATGAGACATCCTTCACTAAGGAAAATGAAGATACTGCATATATATCATGCTTTAATCAGCTCAATTACAGAGATATACTGACATGGGGGTGTAAAATGTATATAGACAAGAGCTGGGATTGGGCCATATTATGAACATATTCATGGAGCCTTTGGTCAGCAGTAGTATAGAGATTATTCTTCTCAATTGTTGAGTAAAGCCTTTCAGCGTCTGTGTTCTGCTTTGTATTGGCATATTGTACATCACTGGTATTGACCTGAAGCCCTGGATAAGGAGCCATAGATGGGCTTTGTGAATTTTCTAAACCTCCTGAAATTTCAAGAAACTTTGCATATAAATATGCATTACAATTGTCTTCTATGGGAGGAGACAACGCAGAATTCTTTTTAATAAAAATAATCAGGATTTCAAGTTATTTACATTCCACAAACTACGAACTCACTGAATATAGGAACATTTGATATATTTGAAGATGAATTAATTTTGATCCATATTAAAAGTCTGATATTTACAACAGTTAAGTAACCTACATGTTATATCCTTACAGAATGTTATACAGTGTATGAATTATGTTTGTGAAATGTATTTACTAAAATAGGTGCTCTCACAGAAATTGAAAAACATTTATGGGGCTTGAACCAAAGTTACCTGTGTATGTGTTTGTTTAAATACTATAATTTTCCAGACATATAATTTATTTATTCATGATTTACTGAGATCCTGTAATGTACTCCTCTCAAAGTCATACCTGTAACCTGAACTCTAACCATCTGGCTATTAATGCTATTTCTTTGAATAATTTACTGTTGAGTATGGCAATATGGCGTATCCTTGTGTTCAATATAATTAGCTTACACGCTGAACATTTTCTGCCAACATAACCTAAATGAGGCACAAAAAAGAGCAGCAACTAACACCAAGTGCTTATATTGTACCATATATAGAACTGAATACTTCAGAGCCTTGTTCTGTTTAGTTCCCATGGCTTTGTGGGCAAGAACACTATACCTCTTTTTTTTTTTAAAGAAATGACTGGTGTGTTGAAACTCAATGAAGTGAAGTAACCAGTATAAAATAACTCAGAGTGAATAGACAGGAATGAGTTAGAACCTAACTCAGTCTGATTTAAAGGCTGATGCTGTTATTGACCACACCATCCTGCCTTCCAGCTCCTATGAGTAGCTGGATGAAGTGTTCATTAAAAGCAACCAAATAGCTCCCATCTTCCCTTTTCTCTGTGTATGTGTTCATGTGCATATATGTGTGTGCAAGCAGGCTGGAGGTCAACACTGAGTTCTTCCTTAATTACTCTTCATCTTAGTTTTTGAGACAGAATCTCTTGTGCCTGAACCTAATTGACTGGATTAGTTTGGAAGGTCAGCAAGCCATACAGATCATCCTCCTGTCTTTACATCCCAATGCTGGGGTATTTTTTTTTTTTTTTGCATGGAGGATCTAAATTCAGGTCTTTATGCTTATGAAGCAAATGCTATCTCAGCTCCTGGCAGCCATTTTTTTTAGTATTCTCTTGAGTGTTCAATCCCAGGCCAATCCTTACAATAGCAACTGCTGCTCCACAGCTTGAGAAAAGGTTTCATAATCTGTTCACCTTTTAAATCCTAGATCAAAACTCTCTATGTTAAGCCTTTGGTCTTAATCTAGTTTCATTATCCTACTTAGAGTTAAGAAGAAAAATAATAATGGACTTCTTACATATTCAAAAACAATGTTTAGTAGATTTAAAACATTTGGCCCAGGTGTTTTCTTGAGCAGTTTTTCACACATGGATGCATTATCTTCTTTGACCCTCCCAGGAATGTTTTGCCTTAGACATCTCCATTATCTTCCTTTCACAGAAAATGTTTGCCATTTTCCCAAAGCCACAAAGCCTGTAAGTAGTGTATTGCGGTAAATAAGGATAAGGATAAACAAATAGGCCGAATAGATGTTTATTCAGGGAGAAATAACTTACAACCTAGACAGATGAACACCAGGAAATTCAACCCTATCCTCTCCTGTCCGAGTCATGCCAGAAAGAGAGAGCCTTTCCTGGCCCCCTCCGACCTCCTTCCACAGGTCACTTCCGCCCCTGGCTCCACCCCCCAATGGGCATGGTCAGTGCCACAGAAGGACTATCTCACTACAATTCCCCTTTTAGTCTAAAGAAAAGATTTAGGCTTAATACAAAACTATATACAAAACAGTGAATAACAAGTGTGCTCCAAGAAAAGGAAAATCGAGAACAAAATGACCTACATATCTAGTTCTAGGGTGAGGGCATAATGGAGTTTACAATAGAGTTGTCCTAAGCTGGAAAATGTAAGTCTAGTACCTAATATATCTAACTAGGAAGAGAGAATAATAGTTGTGATAGTTTAATCTTCAACCTCATCAAGACCTGAGAAGGAAATTAACAATACTAGAGTAGACAGGAAATGCGGATGGACAACTTCCAAAAGGTGCAGCAAGGACAGAAACAGCAAGCCACCTGAATAGTCACCCTAGGTCTCACAGCGACGTTGGTACACCCAGATTTGGCTAAGGCCAAGAGAACTTGACAGACCACAACAACAGCAGGGAAATAGAATGGCTGTCTTACCCTGACTTGGCAAGGTCAAGCAGTCTTCTATATTTGTCTCCTGTAAGCACATAGGACTGCATGTCCAAATCAGTGGTCAAGGTGGGGGCAATTCTATGCCCAACAGGCCATTAGGTGAGGCGAGATTGAACTCCAGCAGGAGCAACAACAGTGTCCAACATATTTTCGGGAAAGTGCACGGTGCTATCAGGAGCAACAGTGTCTCATGTCAATGGAGTACTAATATTAAAACATTTACATGCCATGTTTTGCATGTCTATGAAGTGATTGAAGATTAAGCTTCTATATCTGACTAATCTCATAGGTACAGGAAATGTGAGTGAAGATAATCTGTAATACTCGGGAACTTAGCTAAAAAGACTGATTAAAACTTTCCTGAGTAAAGCAGGAACAAATACTTAAACAATATAACTATTTACATATACATACATGTAAATCCCTAAAATAGAGGTAGAGTATAAGTGTCAAGACAAGAGGTAGAACTATAAAGGGCAGCAAGATAAATATCCCAAATTGTATCAATATACAAAATGTCTTGAATACAAGAAAAGTATACATACATAGAATATGGTAAAAAATAATGTGCATAAAACATTGTAAGTGGAAATATTTAACACAATATAACAAAATATAAACTTAATTTTACATAGCTTACCACATAAGAATACACAACAATGTAAGCTGTAAAATACTATCTCATTCTTACTCAAATTCTCAAGAAAATAGGCTAATCTACCTATATCCCATCTAAACCATACCTTTACCAACCATTCCCTATTCCTGTCTAAAAGATAAACCCGAGTGTAAGCATCACCCAATCCCAAATAACTAAAACCAACCCAAAGACGATGACTATTATCCCAAAATTCCAAGGGTAGGGAAAGGGGGTGTAGTCATATTAAGATTACTTTCTGCTGAAATGGGATGATGATTGCTCCAATGGATCCTGTAGGAAGAAAATTTTTAGCAACCATTTCTCAACAGAACTGGCTGTGACATATGTAGTTAGTCACTGTGTAGCAGAAAATTCTTGACTGTAGTTCTATTTGAAACTCTGGCCAGGGTGTAATAAAAAGGTGCACCATTACAGCTAGCTAGTCATGAGTTGTCTCGAGCAAAACAGTCTCAAACTGGTTTTAGGGTGATGTTTGTAGTTCCGATGCATCAGGTTGAGTCAAGTGGAAACGATGATGTGGGGCCCCATCTTCTTTCCGGAGAGTCAAAGACTGCTGTTAGGAATCGTTATTATTGTCAGTAAGGAAGAGGCAAATGTCCCAAAGCTGTGGTGAGTCCACCTGGTTAAACCCTGCCCGTTGGGGAAGGTGGGGGAGGGGGGCGGCTTCTGCCGCCTGGGGGCAAAACCCAGGTAAATCTGCTTCTGACACCAGATATTGCGGTAAATAAGGATCAGGATAAACAAATAGGCCGAATAGATGTTTATTCAGGGAGAAATAACTTACAACCTAGACAGATGAACACCAGGAAATTCAACCCT